CCTTGAGTTTTGAAAGTTGCAGCCTTGATAAAGTGAGAATGAGGCTCTGCAGTCAGACTTTATTTTGGTGAGGACAACAAACTAAAACCTGTTCGTGCACAGAATATCCAGATATTGACGATAACAGTGACGCTTCATAAAAAGTGTATTACTGATATCGTTAATTTTACAAATGTGTAAATCAGACCAGTTTCTTTCCGTTGTGACGCAGTGACTAACTAGTTGGTTCAAATTAGTTACGAGCTTAGAATCAAAACATCGTTCTTTTGTTTTTTAATAATTTGACTGCTGTCAACATGTATTTCACATCAATAAAGTCCTCAATGTGACTTAACGTGTTGTTTGTTTGTCTTATTCGTCATTAATGTCAGCCACCATGGGAAGTGTAGTGGCCCCGTCACACACGACAGCAAAGCGAAGGTTCACCAAAGTTAAACTCAACTTGCTTCAACATCAGCAAATGTTTTTTTAATCGGCCCCTCGCTCGTAGATCATATCAATCATATCAAACCACATTCTCGCTTTCAATATTTGACAGTAGACGAGAGGTCGCTCACTTGAGATGTGCATCACCTGCTTTGTGATGAGGTAAGTGAAAAGAAGTAAATGCTGCCTGATAAAGTTAGAGTTCCACACGTCCAAACGAAAGCTGAGACGACGGTAAACAGCAGGTGTTTGAACTTTCAACGGCTGCAGTAAAATTTAATGTAATCTCATCTCTGAGCGTGTGCAGTTAAATCACAAACATCTGTTCAATGTTCAAACCACCTCGGCCTGTTTGTGTTTACGCTCGGTGTTAGTGGAACACGAACACGACAATAACAGTAGAGAAAGATTTATTCACTGTGATCAGGGTCAGTATAAAATCAGTGACGTATATACACATGTTGGTAGAAATAGAAAAGTTGCACACGTCAGGCAGTCGGTGTGTGTTGGCAGCAGTTTGTAGGAGAAATGATCAGAAGGCAGCTTCAGCAAATACTGTGCACGTCTCGAATGAGAAATACGTTCAGACTTCAGTCAAACAAGCCTGATCTTCGACACGTGGTCCGGAGACTTCAGACCCTGATCAGATTTATGGGCCTTTAAGGAAAATCCCTTTGCCTCCTTCATCAAGTGTCCTCGCTTGGTCCAATCAAACCCAAGCAGGAGGCCACAGGAGACTTCAACTGACTGAATTATAGTTTTGCTTATTTGTTTTCTTACAAATCTTTAAAAAGTCTAAGTGAACGATTGGCTATCTGAGCTGGACCCTGAGCAGGAAGGTTCGGATCTCCATTGGCCTCAAGGTCACCTCCCATGTGGACGGGTCCTCGAACGTCCTCAGCAGTGGAGGCTCCTTATCTGAAAAGACAAGAGCAGCATGTAACAACCAGTAGAGGGCGCATCCCTCCGTCAAGGCTGATGAGTATTTGTGAATTTACAGACGCTCTTTAACTCCTCGCCTGAAAACATGTTAACAAACGAGACTGTTTCATCTCAGCCTCAGTGAACCAGTTTCTGAATGAAGGCGTGTGTCCTGCACCTGTTTGTGGCGTCCAGTCAAAACGGATCATCTCGTCTTTCCACTGATTGGCTGACAGGTTCAGCTCAGACACGCCCAAAACCTCCAGAGTGGAAAACAGCTTCTACACACACACACACACACACACACACACACACACACACACACACA